ACTGTAGGGCAAGATGCAAAGCACAACTATAGTTAAATGAAATATGGATCTGGCCCAATTAAGAATTTTATTTAAAAGAATCCACCGAACCAAGAGTTGTAATAACGATTGCAATTGGAATGAATTCCTACCTAAATAACTTGACTGTAGGGCAAGATGCAAAGCACAACTATAGTTAAGTAAAATATGGATCTTGGCCCGCTAGGGTATTCTTCTCACGAAGAAACCCCAAGTCAGTAGGTTCCGTACCTGAGGGTAATTGACTTGTTAGAAATAGTGGGAGAGTATTTAATAGAGACCTATTAGATACTTAATTCATGATAATAACTATCTTCGCAAAATTTTGTAGATGGCAAACAACAACACAAACAACCTTGCCTTGCGTTCCATTCTCGATAAAGACAAAGTTGAACGGAACAAACTTTGTTGACTGGCAACGCAATCTCTCCATTGTTCTCCGCATGGATGAGAAAGAGTATGTGCTCGAAAAGCCCATTCCTCCTGCCCCTCCCGCTAACGCCTCGAAAGCGGTTAAAGATGCTTACGAGAAACATGTCAAGGATGACAACCAGGTTATGTCATGCTGGCTACCATGATAACCGAGCTGCAAAAACAGAACGAGGACATGAAGGCCCACGAGATGATCGTGGCCTTGCGGCAGCTATACTAGGGACAATCCAGGCATGAACGTTTTCTCGTGAGTAAGGCTCTCTTTAGTTGCAAGCTCTCTTCAGGGATCCCGGTCGGTCCGCACGTTCTCAAAATGATTGGTTACATAACCAATCTTGAAAAACTCGGGTTCTCCTTGCAGAAGGAGCTGGCAACGGACCTGATCCGGCAGTCGCTCCCTGAGCTGTATAAGGGTTTTGTCATGATCTACATGATGCATGATCTTGACAAACCTCTTCCGGAGCTTCTTAAAATGCTCCAGACTGCAGAGGAGAACCTTACTAAGGGCAAGGGTGCTTCCGTCCTTATGCTCCAAGGCGGAAAGGGGAAGCCGAAGAAGGGGATTAAGATTAAGGCTAGGACGGTCGGAAAGCCTAAATCGAAGTCCACTTCATCTGCAACCCAGAAACCCGTACGAGGAGTTGCAAAGGGCAAATGTCATCACTGGAGGAGAAACTGCAAGACATACCTCGCAACCAAGAAGAAGGAAGGTACGACCATTTCTTCTGAGGTGTATGTTATAGAAGTTGGTGGTCCCAAAGTGGTGAGATACAAAGTCTAGAGGGGGGGGGGGGTGAATAGACTTTGTTACAAATTTAAAAACTTTTTCGTTTCTTTTGAAAACGTGAAAATGAGTGTTAATCTAGAGTTCTTGTGAACTTTAGATTTTGTGCGGAATTTGGTGGGTAGAGTGAGCAGTAATCAATATGGATGTGTTAGTTTTCACAGTTAATATAATTGTAAGTAAGAATAAAGATAAAAGAGAGAGACACGCAAACTTTAACGAGGTTCGAAGGTGGGGTAATCCTTCTACATCCTCAAAATCCACTATGTAGTTAGTTGTTGAATAATGAACCAACAGTTACACTTGTGTGAATTTCTGCACGGTATATCTTCGCAAGGCCAATGTTGCTACTGCACTCGTGCTGGCTTTGTTGTTCCTTCGAAGGTCACGCTTCTTCAACAACTGCAACGTCCGAACAATAGGACTTGCAAGACCAACTTGTAAGAAAGTTGACCTACCCCCTTTCAATCAAGAAGTTTGATCAAAAGTTGTATCCTTCAACGTGGTGTGGTACTTGAGGCAAGGAAACCTTCAAGTGTTTACACTATAGCTCTTTGGAAGGAGGAGAAGTATGCTTCTGGATAAGGAGTTTAGAAATCTCTCTTTATCAAGCTTTTTGGGCTAACTGTGAATGAGATAGCTTTATTGTTAGAGATTGCTTCGTTGTGTTGTTCTATCGCATCATCGTGTCTTCTCCAGTCTTCCAAGAATGTTATTTATAGCTGGATTGGATAATCTATCCATTGAATCTCAATAGACTATCCGTTGCATTTGCTGGCTTCAATTTTGAATGAAGATTGTGATTTGAAGATTCCTCGTTGAAGTGGGTGTTTGGACATACCCAATTGTTTGAGGAGGGATTCTTATTTTCCCAGAATCCGTCTTCTAGCTGTTGATCAAGAATTCTGAACTGCAGCACTTTACTCTGTTTGTCTTCTAGTGCTTGTTTGGGAATTCTGGACTGGCTCTTCAGTTTGAGAGGTCCAGACCTTGTTTTCGAATCATTTGTTCCTGAATTAGCATGAATATCTTCAATCTAGCCGTTGAAAATCAAGAGATTGATTTTTCCTTACCAACGGGTAGAATTTCTTCATTCAAGACTTAGATAATTTTCTAAGTCTTTTCTCACTTGTCCGCTTTTTGAGAATTCTGGTCTTTCTTGAGTCTTCCGGTTCTTAGCTAACAAATCCGGAGGAGTCATTCTCAGACTTCCGGGTGAGAAATCCGCGCTAGTCTTCCGACTTAGCCTTCAGCGGGTTGTAGCGAGACATCTGGTTCTCATGTAGTCTTCTGGATTAGAGGATTTTCATCTGCTTTGAGAAATCCTTACTTGTCTCTGACATTTCCGATCAAGATATCCAATTTCCATATCACTAAATTTGATTAAGTCTTCAAGTATCAAACCACTTAAAGAAATATCACAACTTTATTGGAAATCTCAAGAACTCGGTTTTGACAATATTTCTAAAAAGAAAAATTACATTGAATATTGGGGGAGACCTAAAGCCCTATTACATTCTAAATACATCATCATTAAAATCTATAATATTTTTCCCAACAATTTCCCCCTTTTTGATGATGACAAACAAGTGTTTAAGAGTTCCGGTCGCTGTACTGAGAACTAATTTTATAACTTTCTTTTAGTTTCTCATAATATACAGCTTGTTAACAAAAACTCTTAAGCAAATACAATTCAAATTACAATAATTCCTAAACCAAGTCTTGTCTTGAGATTTTGTGATATCTTCCGCCATTGACCGTTTTCAGCT